TGGGCCTCACCAGAACTCAAGTTGGAATTAAAAGAATCCTAAAAAGAGCAAGTTATTCCAGCATAGCCATCAAGAAGAAAAACTGGCTTTTAAGCTTTGGGAGAAGTTGCAATGGATTGCGGCTAAGCTCGCTTCAAGTTTAGTGGGTTAGGATCTTGGGTGTTGAGGGGGCAGTTGACAAGTTGCAGCCAAGTTGAGGCTGCATCCTAAGTGGTTTGCTGATGAGAAAGAATTTGAGAAGAAGAGACTTAAATCTGTCATGAGTCTGAAAGCAGGACAAGAAGCAACGGATGGAAACTAATCAAAGAGAGAAGCAAGCAGGAACTAATGAGGTTTCCATCCATTAGTTTCCATCCATTTCCTGACAGAACAATTAATTAGCGTAATGCCTCCAGAAGTTGTGGGTCCTCGAACACGGAGGATTTTAAGTTTGAAATGGGACCAGTTTCCTGCTTGAGCAAGGGGTTGGGCTAGAAGACCTCCAAGGTCCCTTCCAACTCTTATTATTCCATTATATTAACTTTAAAAGGAGGGGATATATTAAAATGTATTCATGACTACTGTGAAGAAGATTGGAAGTCTTTTTTTTTTCCCCTTACCCGCACTGTCTTTTTCACTTCTTTTATTTCTTTTCCTTAAGCGGCATCCTAAATGCTTAGAGACTTTAATAATAGTCAGAATAACCCAAGAAAATGGTGTATGCAGGTCCCACCCTCCTCACACACAACCCCAACCCCTCACCCACCCCCGTTTCTACCTGCTGGTTTTTTGACAGGGGTCCTCCAGCGAGTTGCCTGGTGACTTTCAGGAAGGCCGTGTTCTAATTTCGAGAGAGGTTGCCATGCCAATGATGGCTACGGCCGCCTTCCTCTTCTCCACCCAACCGCAACAAGAGGAAGTAAAATAGAATACCTTCTGCCCGTGACTCCCTCTGAAGTTTGGAAGGAGAAAATGAAAGCCGCAGGTGGAACGAATACAGCTGGTGGCTGGTTAGAAGAAATTATTATTATTATTATTATTATTATTTTTAAAAAAACTACCAAACCAGCTCTGTAGCACCACCAGAGTCCTGTTTTGACCCCGGAGTGTGTGCCTCGTTGGACCAGGCCGAGCAGTCCAGCTTGCGACTTGTTTCTTCGGCCATGTAAGGGAGCCCCGGAGCACGCCAGGTGCCTATTTTAGGAAAATGCGCACGGGTTTGTCATTTCTGCTCCGGTGCCACGGCCTGCGGCTGCCTCTTCAGCGGCTGGCTTCTTCTCTTTGAGCAAAGAAAGAAGCATCACAGCCCCTGTAGGTTTCTGACAAAAAATTTGCCTTGGGGAGCAGCTGCCACCATGCCAAGCTCGGCTGGATGCCAGTCTCACCCCCTTTCTCTCTCTCTCTCTCTCTCTCTCCCTCCCTCCCTCCACCCCCTCTTCCCTTCTCCCCTGCTACAAAACCTGTCCGGTGCCAAAAGCTTTCAAAGTAAACAACCAAGCAAGGCATCTTATACCTTTTGTCTGTCACAGCGGGCCTAGAGTTTGCAGCGGAGCCTCCCGGGGGCTGCAGGGGAGGTTTCCAGAAAGGAAGTTTTGGAAGAGGCCAGAACGTTCCACTCCTTTGGGGGGGGGGGGGGGAAATGGTGTGATGTGATGAAGCTACGGGGAGCCTTTTGGCAGACCACCCACCTACCCCTTCCCAAGCCCTTGTTTGAAGGGCACCTCTTGGAAAGCTGGTGCTTTCTCAGATTTGCCCTCTGAAAAAAAAAACAGGTGTTTCCAGAAAGGCTTATCATCTCTGTGGGCCTGTTGTAATGCAAAGATTGCAATGCAATTGAAAGCTCTTTGGAAGGTTGGGGCAAGTAGGTCACCGTTGGCTGTTGAACAAGGTGTGGGGGCTTGAAGCATTGATCCAGACCTAGATATCTAGGTTTTCTGAAGTTGCCTTTCCTGCTCTAAATAGTAGCTACCGTTCTCCTTACGTGCTGGAACGCAAACGAGGCCTGTCCTGCTTGCAGGTAAATGATTTCTGATTTGGAAAGGGACCTTGGAGGTCTTCTAGTCCAATTTCTCACACACACACACACACACACACACACACACACACACACACACACACCAGTGGCAGGATTTCTTGTTCAGGTAGTCCTCCACTTAAAGCATTTCATTCAGTGACCTCTGGAAGTGACGATGCTACTGAAAAAAAAGTGACTTAGGACAATTGATCAAACTCACGACTGTTGCAGCGTCCTCCATTGTCACATGATCAAAATTCAGACATTTGGCCACTGATTCATATTTATGACAGTTCAGGGTGCCGGGGCACATGACCTTCTGACCAGCCAAATCAACGGGGAAGCCAGATTCACTTAACAACTGTAGTGATTCTGTTGTGGCAAGAAAGGTTGTAAACTGGGGCAAAACATACTTAACAACCCTCCCGCTTAGCCCAGAAATTTGGGGCTCTGGTCGTAAACCGAGGACTAACCAGTATCATCCCAGATAAATGGATGTGCACTTTTTTCTTGGAAACCTCCAGGATTGGAGCTCCCACAACTTCTAGTGGCCAGCTGTTCCACTGGTTAATTGTTCTCACTGTCAGGAAGTTTCTCCTTAGTTCTAAGTTGCTTCTCTCCTTGATTGGTTTCCACCCACTGTTTCTTGTCCTGCCTTCGGGTGCTTTGGGGAATAGGCTGACCCCCCCCCCCCTTCTTTTTTGGGGGCCCCCCCCCCCCCAAATATTAGAACCCTGCTGTCATGTCACCCCTTAATCCTTCTCTTCGTTAGGCTACCTCGGGGATTCCCCAGGTGACTCTGCCTGTGAGTAATTGGACTCCCCCAGTAATTCATCTTTTAAAACATTAACACATTTGAAACCCCACAAATATCAATAGATCGACCTAAAACCCAAGTGATTGTTTTGTTATGGCTTTTTTTTTTAATTTTTTAAAAAAACTTTCCTTCAAACCACTTCTTGTTGTGGGTTCGGTTCCCACATCAGTGTTCATTAACCTAAGCACGTTCTCACGGCGTGACCGGGTTTTTTTCGGTTTGTTTTATTTCCTGTTTGCTTATTGCTTGGTTTTCTTCCTTTGAAACATTTTCTGAAGTGTCGGTATGATTGTTTGGATTATCCGTTGAGGTCTCATTTTGTAGACAATATGTGTGTGGTTTAAAAGTTGTTTTTTTTTTTTTTTAAGTCAGATCTTGCATTTGGCATTTTGAGCTGAGAGTCTGTCCTTTCTCCTATCCTTTCCCTTTTCTAGAAAATCAGAATAAAGCAAAATCGCGATGGCCATCACACTGTTGTATCTTGTATTCCAGAGCTGCTTACCTTTTTAGAAGTGAGGTGCGTAGCTAACACAAGGAAGTCCTTTTCTGTGATAAAGTCTTCAGATTCAGAACCTTCCAAATAACAGCTAGTCCTCGGCTTACGACCATAGTTGAGCCCAAAACTTCTGTTGTTAAGCGAGATGTTTGTTAAGTGAGTTTTGCCCCATTTTACGATCTCCCTTACCGCAGTTGTTAAGGGAAATCACTGCAGTTGCTAAGTTAATACGCTGGTTGTTAAGCGAGCCTGGCTTCCCCGTTGACTTTGCTTGTCAGAAGGTCGCAAAAGGGGTTCACGCGACCACCAGGACACCGCGGCCGCCGTAAGTCTGAGTCAGTTGCCAAGCATCTGAATTCTGATCACATGGTAATGGGGATGCTGCAAAAGGCCACAATTGTGGGGAAACAGCCATAAGTCCCTTTTTCCAGTGCTGTTGTAACTTTGAACGGTCACTAAACAAACTGTTGTTAAGTCCAAGATCTGTACCTCAGATCTTTAGGTGCCTTCCATTGGATAGGCATCTATTGAAAATGTGTTTCTTTCCCCAAGACGTTATTTTGGTTTCTGCGCTGATTGTTTGCTTCTGTTTTTCTCTCTGCAGTTGGAACTGATTGCTTTATCATTTGTTGTAAGGGCTTTTGAGAAATAAATACTTTGAGTAAATAAAAAACAAACTTCCCCTGCTAGCCACTTGTTTTGATTCCGAAGGCCATATATATCTGTCTCTATTTTTTGTCTGTCAGTTGGTCCGTCTATCATCTATCCATCTACTCTCTCTCATCTATCTATCTATCTATCTATCTATCTATCTATCTATCTATCTATCTATCTATCTA